TTCAACATATTTTTTCACAGATGAAGGCAGTTGCTGGGATGAAGATGTCGTACAACTTGCAGCAGGCCATCGAATCGTCTCGCAGGAACATCATAAGAGGATTCAGACAGGAGGAGACGACCTCCGCTCTCTGCGCCCACCTCTTCTCTATGATCCGGGGGAACCGGCAGCACCGGAGGGCTTTCCTCATCTCGCTGCTGAACCTCTTCGATGACAGTTCTGTGAGTAAACCTGGGCTCCTCTCTCTCCTAATTAGCAACATGCTAGGACAGGGGTCGGCAACCCGCGGCTCTTTAAGCCCTCTGCTCTGGCTCCCTTGAGCTTAGACAAAAATAAGAAGGAAATAAAATAAAAATATTTGTAGGACTATTTACATTTTGTTGCACGGTTGAAAATGTTTCGTATCTTATATTTTGAGGTGATACTGTGACACATAAAAAAAAAAACACCCGTTTTTAATTAGGTCAACCGAATACAACTTTATAAGCTATCAAATATGTTTTGCGGCTCCAGACAAAAGAAATTGGTGGAAAAGGGGGCAAAATGGCTCTTGGTCAAAAAGGTTGCAGACCCCTGTGCTAGGAGAACATTTCTTAGAGATACAGATAACGGCACTGATTGTAAAGCAAAACCTTTTATACATAGACAAAAAACACACTGGTGTTGCAAAATGTTAAATCCCACTCTTTTACTGTCTTGCAAATGTAATAAGAATTTGTATTTGTAGCATGTATGAATTAAATTCTAGTAGATGAATACTAAGAAGAGTGTTACTTACCATGAAGCAATGCTTTCTTTCTGCAGAGGACGGAAGTGAACATGCTGCTGTTTGTAGCAGACAACCTCGCCTGTTTCCCATACCAGAGCCAGGAGGAGCCTCTCTTCATTATGCACCACATAGACATCACCCTGTCTGTGTCCGGCAGCAACTTGTTGCAAACCTTCAAAGAGGTAGGGTAGCATTTTTTTGAAAGTAGTTTTCGCATAGATTAAATACAAAAATTTAAACTTTTTTTTTATCGTGAAGCATTTATATAGATTGTTCTTCCTTTTCCCTTTCCAGCTTCTGCTAAAGGAGCCACGGCGTAAGGAGAAGAAGATAAAGGTGTTGAAGCAAATGTCAGATGGGGAGGATGAGGAGGAAAAGATTCATTGTGATTCTCCCAGGAGCAATGAGGAAGGAAACAATGAAAATGAAGATGTGGTACGGCGGCCTAAAAAGGCCAAAAAACCTATTCCAGAGTCGGAGAGCTCAGAATCCGATCTGGAGGATTTGGATTTGGAGGATGTGGAAAAAGTGATGAGGCTCCTCCCAGACAATCCCACAGGTCTCTTGGACTTTGCTAACTCTGTTCAGGGCATCTTGTTGCTTCTGGTGCTCAAACAGCATCTGAAGAACCAATATGGATTCTCTGATGGGTAAGATCTTTTGTAATATGTATTTCTTCATAGACTTTTTCTAAATTAAGACATCTACTTTTGTATGTGTTGATTAGTTCGATCAATTCAAACCTTTAGTCGCATTAGAAACTCAAAATGTTTTGATCTTTCAACAGCAAAATTCAGAAGTACTCTCCAACAGAGTCAGCCAAGGTGTACGATAAGGCGGTGAACAAAAAAAACACTGTTGTCTTCCACCCGCGACAAACCATCGACTTCATCTCCAACAACATGTTTCGTGCCACACTGTCAACCGATGTCAAGAGGCGAATTGTCCGACAGTACCTAGATGTAAGCATTGAAGCTATAACAGACTTTCTTTGCCAATATTTTATGTACATCATCGTGAAAGTTAATCTGCTTTTGGTCTACTCACAAGTTACCAAGATATAAATACTAAATTGTTTCTAATTATTTAATAAATGTTCAGTGCTGGCTGTAGTTTGCCCTTGAAAGCATTCAATACCTGTACATGACTTGTACTGTTACTTCCACTATATTCTGTCACGTTTGCTGTTGTGTGTGAAACCTGCATCTGAAAGACCGTTTTGATCTGTTCTCTCCGACAGTTCAAGGTTCTGATGGAACATCTGGACCCAGACGAGGAGGATGAGGAGGGAGAAGCGTCTGCCAGCGCTAACATCAGAAACAAAGCCATAAGCGCCCTCCTGGGAGGCTCCGGCCCCATGTCGGGACCCAGCCCTCGCAACCAGGCTGGACCAGAGACTGATGACGACTACAGTGATGGAGACGAAAAGACCCCAGGGGTGAGAGAAACGGATACACACACCATGTATAAAATACAATTTCGAATACGGGGGGAAATAATGCAACCCTTTTTTCTTTTGTCATCCCTGCAGTCCTCTCGAAGGTCAAGGCGAGCAGTTGACTCCATGAACGAGATATTGGAGTCCATGGATGTGATTGCTCTTTGCTGTCCGAAATACAAGGACCGGCCGCAAATAGCTCGAGTCATCCAGAAGACCTCCAATGGATACAGCATCCACTGGATGGCCGGCTCCTACTCGGGGCCCTGGGCAGACGCCAAGAAACGCGATGGCCGCAAACAGGTGCCTTGGGTGGACACTATTAAGGAGTCGGACATCATTTACAAGAAGATTGCCTTGACCAGCAACCACAAACTGAGCAACAAAGTAGTACAGACTTTACGCTCACTGTATGCAGCGCGGGAAGGAGGGGCTAGCTAATGGCTCCCGTGTGATGTTTTTTTTTTTTCTTTTGGTCCCCCTTACCCATTTCTACTTTATCAAAAATCCTCCTCTTCCCTGCTCCTCCTCCTCCTCCTCAACCTGCCACCTCCAACAACACAGCCAAACTTCACTGGATTCCTACCCTGCTCCTCTTCTTCCTCATTTTTGTAAGAAAGACAAGAGGGCAAGAATATTTGACACTACATACTTTTACATGAGTTATTCTTGCAGAAATAAAAAATGACACAAAAGACTTGTTATATTAGAGGGACTGCTCACGTTTTGTTTGTGTACAAGTGCAGAGGATAGGATCCAGAAGGCATTAAAGGAATAATTACCCAAATTATCCCTTAAAAAGGCTATTAGAAAAGAGACCTGGAGGGAAATGTTATGTCAACATTGTTGTGGGAGCTCCTTCGCTGTTGTGCAGCAGATTCTAATCGCTCATTTCTACTCCCACTGTATCATAGTTTAACACAACAAAAAACTAAAATGTTTATATCTCTGAAGACAAAAAAGCTGTAAAAAAAGAATAAAACCTTAAGTGAATGTTGGAAATTAGTCTTTTTGATGTTCTTATTAAAGTGTTTTTGGAGTTTATTATACTACTAGCACCCTGATGGTTTTTAGCTTTTAGATATTTTATGGAAAACAAGAAAAAAGACCAAAAAAAACAAGATTTTTTATTTTTGTTCACTTTTATTTGTCCATGCTGTACAATGGCAGAGTCCTCTGGACATAATTTATTCTATTTCGAAATACGCATGCAGTATATGTGGCCTATTGCAGGAAGATATTTTGTAAATGTAGATTTTGTTGTATTAGGTCACCCTAGTAATAAGAGGAAAGGGGATTCATACCCTTTTGGTGGAACAATACTGCAATAAATTTTTCTACTTCTCTTTGTCACTTGTCTGCTCAAGGTGTTAATCTGATCTGTTCATTATATAAATGAAGAAAAGTGTAGGAACTGGATACTGCAAAAACACAGATAGGTCTCAGAGGCTTAATCTGTTCCATCTGAGGGATGGGGAAAGCTTAAAAAAGTATACCAGACAATCCTTTTCTGAATATGTCTGTACAATTTAAAACAAAGCAACTACCAGTACCACATTACAATAAGACTACCTTTATAAAGGGTTTACGAATAGTTTATAATTCATTTATTAATTAGGTTGTGAACACTTTATCATTATTAAGCTTTTATAAGACATGAGATAAACAGGGCACCTGTGACCAGTTGCTTGCCAAATAGTGAGCCCACATTTATCTGTACTGCTAAGCCTTATATTGGCTACCTAGCTTACTTCGTCTTCATCAGCCAGCATCCTTGGTATCTGTTGTTCACTGAGTTGATTCTCGCCAAGTAGCCAATATAAGGCTTAGTCATCTTGCCAAATAGTGAGCCTGTGTTGATGTATAGAACTGGTTTATAAAGGGTTCTTAATGATTAATAAAGTGTTTACATTACAACCTAATTATAAACCCTTTATGAATCCTTTATAAGGGTAGTCTTATTGTAAAGTGGTACACTTTTTTGTATTGTGTCCACCAGGGAATCATGCTACACCACTATGGAAAACCGTCTCCTAACATAATTTATTGCCTATGGTACTGTCATTATATTGGATAATTGTATACAAGCTGCATTTAAATCTGTCAAATCAAACCTGTCAGACACTTATTTGTATTAAGTGATGGAATGTAACTTTGTTTTCTACTTAAGTATACATTGTTCTATTTTATTCTACTTCATACTTCTACCCAACATTTTGGAGTTAAAACATTTAGTTTTACGTAATTACATTTATATGAAACCTCAAGTTGATTTGCAAATGTAGATTATCAATACAAAATATAGGCCATTGTACACAATTAGTAGTTTACTTTTGTATCTAGTTTTGATGGTCACAATTTTGTACTTTGACTTGGTTAAGATTTAAAATACAGTACTTCAACCAAAGTTTTCAATATTCTCTTGTTTTAAATACAATCCGTATCCGTAACACAAATATAAAATGACCAGGCGAGAGAAAAAGGAGAGGAAGCTGATTTCTGAAGCCACAAGCAGGTATTTTAATGGACAAAAAGAAAAAGGCATCCCCAGCCAACTTGCAAAGTAAACTAAGATACAAATATATACTGGAACCATACTGGAACACATCTAGTGATTAACGAAACACAGGTCCCACACAGAGACACCATGCTGCACACATGCAGCCAGAGGAGAAGGAGATGAACCACTGCAGCCTTCCTCAGGTCCTTTAAGGAGGCCCTGATTGGGGATTGGGAGCACCTGGGGGAGAGGCTGCACCTGGAGACAATAAGAGAGAGAGAGAGAGAGAGAGCGAGAGAGCGAGAGAGAGAGAGAGAGAGACACAAAGAGACACACACAAAGAGAGAGTGACACAAAAGCACCAACTGCGGCACGTAACAGTGACTGTGGTAAAGTCTACTTGCAGAGCTAGTTACGGAGCATTCTTGGACCTAATGGCTCTCCGTAGTCTGGTGATATGACAGCCTTCCTGTTCCTGCAAAATTCGTATTGTTTTGGCGGGGTCTGTTACCGTTTGTGTCTTCCTCCCTTCGGACGTTTTATCCGATGTTGTAAACATCAACTTTCTTAATACGAACTATGGAGCGGTACGTATTATATTTGCAGTTGGTTTATTCCTGAACGTAATCAGCAAACAGACAGAAAATATGTAATGATTTTTTGCTCGCCAGAGAAGGTTTTGCCAGTTGCGGTCTTTGTTGTTGACTTTAGCTATAGTTACCTATCGTAACATTAATTGAAACGATGTTATCAATCCTAATAGGTTGTTTTGAGTAAACTTTACTCCATAACAACTATTTTAGATTGAGCAAGAAACCAACAATTTCGGCGTGTAGAGTTTTGTCTAGTTATGTCACTGAACGAGTTGCTAGTTAGCTTGTTAAGCTAGTGCTTACACTGACATCCGTTACGTTAGCCAGCTGTTGCTCCTGATGATTATTGTTTTAACTGTGGCCAACATTTCCACAATAAAATGCACTTGTATGTATTTTGCGGACATTGTGGAACATACGAATAATGTTTATAAATGGTATCTGTTTATTTTGTTCTTGATCACGCTACGTTTCTAGTGGAAGGCGGAGTCGAGCAGTAAGCGGCAGAACATCGGATCTGCCGATGCGCGTGCAAGAAACCAACAGAATGAGCATGGTGTATACAACACCAAAGAAGTGGGTTTGATGCAAACACGTGTTTACATTCATTCGTTTAAGTTGTATAGTTAGCAAAGATACAGGTTTCTTGTGTCGTTTACGGATTACACTCTTATTTGTATGAAGCATACATGTAGTTGGTATAACCTGATGTTAGCCACACCCACACAACTACTTTACAAGATACTTTACTTCTAATAATGGGTTGTATCCACAATATGATATTATATATAAGATAACTTAGTGAGGACTACACTGTTATAGATAGATTGAGATGTTGTGGCTAGCTTCATGTTATTGTATATTACATTAAACTTTAAGAACAAACTGGGAGACACTGCAGCTTTATTTTTTAAAGGCTTCATAGATTATATTCTACTTATTTTAGTGTATTATAAACAATGTTTTATGAACCTGTGAGAACTCAGTAAAGTCAGACTAATAGATTAGTGGTACTTTGCCGTAATAGCAGTCATATGAAACATATACATTTGTTCACAGTTTTGTTTCTTTACAGCAAACAGCCTTCCTTTGGAAAGCTCAACATGCCCAAACCGCAGTCTGGGACCTCTGAGAGGCGGACCAGCTTCTTTGATGCCAGCCGGTATGTGAATAATATTGAAAGAATATCCAAAGTTGCATTACCATGTACTTCTACAATGTAAGTGCTAATACACATATATATAATGCTAAGAATAACAATATATATACATCGGCAATATCTACAGGTCCTAATACAACTTAAGTAGTAGTAAGATCAAATAAAGTGGGTCAAATGTTGACTTTGCCTTTTTATACAGGAATAAAGACTTCAGTACCTGAACATCCTGTGAATATGGCTTTAAAAAGTATAATGCATGTTCTATATGAAAACCTTAGCTGACTGAGGTTTTTATATCTATTAATAGGTTTCTACAATACAATTTAACAGTTTTTTTTGTCAGTTAACACAATTCATTTTTGATATTGTGGTGTAATGCTAACATTTTGTCTGCAGAACTAGTGGAGCCAGCATGCCTCGCAACAGCATCATGTCAGGATTTGGAGGAAGTGAAAAGATAAAAGACAGCAGAGCTTTGCACGATAAAGCGTTTGTTCAGCAATGCACCAGGCAGCTGCACGAGGTACACACACACGAATAGTTGAGTTAGATTTAACATTGCTTCACCCTTTCATATTCAATACATCAAATCCAATGTGTAGGAGATAAAACAAAATTGAAAGACTTTGGTGGTTGAATCTAATTTGGCAGACAGCAACATTTCATTGCATTGAACTGATGACAATTAATGCAACACCACTACTTTAGCATAAAATAAATATTGGCTGATTTCAGGTATTTGTTTCATTTTTGTATCACTACACTCACACTGATTTAACATCAATCCTTATGGTATCTGATTTGTAGCTTAACCTTTTTTATGTACCTTTCTAAAAACATATAGTTAGTTAATATGAGTAGGAATCTATACCGTTGCCCTGTCCAGTCTGATTCTCTCTTTGGTCTTTCTAGTTCTTGACAGAGCACAGTTACCCAGGCCCCTTGTCAGCCAAGACCCTCGTGTCCCCCTCCACCAAGGAGTTTGTGAAGGTGTTTGAGTTTGTTTACTGTCAGATAGACCCCACGTTTGAGATGCCAAACTCAAAAGTTGAGGAGGAGGTTCCAGCTCTCCTTAAAGCCCTGAGGTAAGATGATGTCATTTTGTTGTAATAAGTACGTATTCATTAATATTACTTTGTTTCGTTTAGTGCCCCACATTGCATATTTTGATCATAAAAAGCACCTGTTGGCTTACCTTGTGTATTGGGAAGGCACTTTAGTACCACTGCAATATAAAGATTTGTCTGGATTGAAGTAATATTAAAAATAAAAGAAAGATGAAGAGAAACTATTAAACTATGCATATCAAAAATTCATAGTACAACAAGTCTGAACATGCAAGTAGCTATTTTAATTAGTTGTAGCCTTCCATTTATACATTTTTAGAACTTCAACTTGTAACCGAATATTCCTACACTCTGGTACTTCTACATAAGTACTTCTCCCACCTCTGTTGGCTTCATATCGATGTTCAGATCGCTGGAGCCATCTCCAACGATCACCTTTCCTTTCTCTCACTCTTTTTTTTCTCATACAACTCTCTTCTTTTTGGTTGAAGGTATCCATTTGTGCTCTCCAAGTCTTCAATGTATTCCGTTGGAGCCCCCCACACCTGGCCTCTGGCCCTCGGTGCTCTCACATGGATGATTGATCATGTCAAGGTGAGAAGCGATAGACCTTTTTAATTAGAAAAGAACAGGCTCATTTGCATAGGAAGCAGAATACATTATTGTAATTTGATAACCTAGTTAAAACCAGTCTTGTGTTTTCTTTCTGTGCCAGTTTGTCTCGCATATGGGTGAGAAGGAGACGCTGTTCCGTGACTTCTTTGATGGCGATGAGGACATCGAGGAAGGGTTGGAGTATAACAAGGTACCTCTTTAAGTATGTATGCTTTGGATAAAAGCATCTAACAATTGAAATGTAATGTTTAAACAGCACACAGTGTATTCCAAACCCATTCAGTGTTTTTCCTCTGTATTTCGGACCAAAATCCTCAACATAACTGCACATTATAAGGTTATTCTTATCCGTCTAAATCTAAAGCATGTTGTTTATTCATCTTTATTCTTTGTCTTTACGGTGCAGCTTGTCGAGGACTACTCGGCTGAGGAATACTCCAAGTTCATGAAGGGCGAGGACATGTTTGACGACATGGGGGATGTATTCCTCAATAATCTAAGTAAGCACAGCATCTCTTTATGCAATATATTTATTTTTAAACAATTCTTTGCATTCCATAGATGTTTGAACAGAATTGAAATGACTTTGTACGTTCAAATTTAGATTTTTAAAACTGGATTTTAGTCCCATTTAAAAGTGTTGTTTTCTAAAACGACAAAAAACAACAAGAATCATTTGTCTTCACCCCAGCCAAACTTTATAACGTTGGCGAAGCCCTGCTGGACTCGATGGAGGAGAAGTACAAAATCCTCAGCACTGAGCTGCATCTACTGGAGAACGACAGCCAGGCGGTAAGGAGACCTTCTATAAAACCATTCCCATTTGTACTGCGTAGATTAGGATTAGAATCTTGATATTTCTATTACGGGTTTTTATATAGGGTTAGGGATATTGCACTGCACAAGTGGAAAGGGTGAAAAACTATCATCGTTGTTAGGAAAAATATCACTCGTCACCGGCTAGGTCTTCAATATCAGGAAGGATATATGTATTTATTATCCTTGCAAGAATGGAAGTAGTCATCACACAGGGCTGCGTGGGACAAATAGTTCCCAGAACAGTGTCCTTCACATGCTTATATACAAGAGAGGGAGTTACAATCACAAGATGCGGAATACCGGTTCAAAGCAGTATTCAATGTTTAGTTCAGATTAGCTAAGGCCTGCGTAAGCAATAAACATGACAGTCATATGTCTATCTTCTCCATAGAGGCTGAATCATCATGTTAATCGTTGTCACATACACTGAACAAAAATATAAACGCAACACTTTTGTTTTTGCTCCCATTTTTTATGAGATGAACTCAAAGATCTAAAACATTTTCTATCTACACAAAATAACCATTTCTCTCAAATATTGTTCACAAATCTGAAAAAATCTGTGATAGTGAGCACTTCTCCTTTGCCGAGATAATCCATCCCACCTCACAGGTGTGGCATATCAAGATGCTGATTAGACAGCATGATTATTGCACAGGTGTGCCTTAGGCTGGCCACAATAAAAGGCCACTCTGAAACGTGCAGTTTTGCTTTATTGGGGGGGGGGCCTGAAAACCAGTCAGTATCTGGTGTGAGGGGTAGGGTTAGGGTTAGGGTAATGTTGTGAATCGAGTGGCCTGTGTTCGTCGTCCATAACATATGCCTGCCCATACCATAACCCCACCACCACCATGGGCCACTCGATTCACAACATTACCCTAACCCTACCCCTAACCCTAATCCTACCCCTCACACCAGATACTGACTGGTTTTCGGACCCCCCCAGACCCCCCCAATAAAGCAAAACTGCACGTTTCAGAGTGGCCTTTTATTGTGGCCAGCCTAAGGCACACCTGTGCAATAATCATGCTGTCTAATCAGCATCTTGATATGCCACACCTGTGAGGTGGGATGGATTATCTCGGCAAAGGAGAAGTGCTCACTATCACAGATTTGTTTCAGATTTGTGAACAATATTTGAGAGAAATGGTTATTTTGTGTATATAGAAAATGTTTTAGATCTTTGAGTTCATCTCATGAAAAATGGGAGCAAAAACAAAAGTGTTGCATTTATATTTTTGTTCCGTGTAGCTATCATATGCCTAAAACAGTGTCCTGATGCTCTTCTAAGTAATCATACTTCCTGTTACGTACACAGCTACGTTTATGTTTATTTAGGATCCCCATTAGCTTTTGCTCTTGACAAAAGCTACTCTTCCTGGGGTCCGACACTTGAAACAATTCAACAATAATACAACAACAATAATACAACAACATTCAAGACATAAGTCCTGACAACATCACCAACATCATCAACAATCTCATCCACTTTCAATATCAATCTCAGCCAAGGATGAGTGCACAAGACACCCACCAGTACAAAGCATGAGATTAAGTTAGGGTTCAGAGCTCACAAGGGTACATGGTCATTAGTAGATGGCCCTTCAATCTCTTCTTGAAAGAGGCTCTGGACTCTATTTCAGCAAGGTAGTTTGGCAATGAGTTCCATTCCTTTATAGCTCTATAAGACACAGAAGAGTTCAGAAGATGTGTCCTGGGTTTAGGTGCCCGTAGATGGCCTGATGTAGCTTGTCTAGTCTTATGGTCATGCTCGTCTCTTGTGTAAACTATTTGATCATAAAAATACAATGTTTTTTTGCTAAATTGGAAATCTTTTAGAAAAGTGATAACACGAGATTGCAGACGTTTCTCAACCGGAAGCCATGATAGGTTTCTATGCATAACTCCAATATGAGTGTGCTTCGAACAGTGGAGAGCTAGTCTGGCAGCCTATGTAGGGCCTTCGTTATCATGTGCTACTCTGATATTAGAAGAGTACATTCAGTATTTTCCCAACAATCGTCAACAAAATAATTGTGCTACAAAATGAAAAGAAGATATTTATGATTATCGAAGGTGCAAAAGTTTAAAGCTAAAGCCAATATACCTTGGCTTTTATGAGGGTGTGCACCCATTTTATAGTTCTATCAGTAACATGAATATATGTTTAAGCAACAATAAGTCAGATGGATAAGATTCTGTTTCTTCTCCTGGACAGGACCGTCTCACGACCAAGAGGTTGCTAAGAGTGAAGCTGCAGACAGACCTGAAGAATATCCTGATTTATCAAAGCAAACTGGATTCGTTCAAAGCAATCCTGGAGTGCAAATATTCAGAACTGAGTGATGAACAGGAGACTACTGGTACATATAACATTCAACCAGTTGTTAAGCAGGATGCACAGGATCATGGGGGAGATTTCAGTGTTCAGACACCAAGCAGATTCATGTGCTAATTATCAAAGCTCATTAAGTTACTGAAACTATGAATTTACATGTTCTTTTTTGGCCTGTCTCTACTCTGTACCAACTAAACAAGGATTCTTCTTAGGAGTTAACTGGACTTCTTGACTGAGATATTTTCTCTGTCTGAATCCTTGTAAAAAACATTTAACATTCTTGCTTTAAATAAGTCCCCAGAGACCACACTTTACTGTGGTTTTAAAACTCCCTACCGTGCGATAGAAACATATTCTGTCTCTTACTGTCAACACGGGATCATTCAATGCTAACAAAGCTCCCACTGAGCAGCATAGTTCACTACTGAGGTGTGGATGGGGTTTTGAATCCTTTTATTCTCTGTCTTCCTGCAGAGAGTCACCTGGAGTCTCTCAAACATGAGCAAAATGAACTGCAGCAACTCCTGAAGAACCAGAAGTTTACTCCAGCTGATGTGGAGAGGATCACCAGAGAGAAGAGAGAGCTCCAGCAGACCATCTCCAGCCTCAGCAAGTCTCTAGAAGACGCTGAGCAGCACAATTGGAACGAGGAGATCGCCCTGGCCAAATTCAACGAAAAGGTATGAGCATCTAATATGCATACTTAATGACATAGTTGGGATTAAAATGGTATTTTGTGTTTGTGGCTACCAAAGATTGATAATGGCAAATGCTTTTCATCATTTGAACTTGAATTCCTTGCTCCTTCTGTGTGTGTGTCATTTCCTTATATCCATCCAGGCGGAGCTGAAGGTGGCAGAATACCACAAGCTGGCCCGTAAACTGAAGCTGATCCCGCTGTCTGCAGAGAACGCCTGTGGTCATGACTTTGAGATCAGGCTTTTTGAGTCGGGCACCATGGATCAGCATAAAGTTAAGATACAGGTACTGCCAAGATTTAATTCAGATACATTGAGTATGATCAAAGCTGGCTTATTATATCTATACTAATGTCATTTGGAGCTTTGATACATTTAATGTTATCAGGTGGAAATGATATTCGATTTTCTTTTTTCGTCAAAAATGAAAGGTGTGTGTTCTGTGTCCTTGTTCTGATCTTTGCGGTGTGTTTGTAGATGCTCCTGATAAAGCTGGTCGGTAACGTGGAGGAGGAGAACAGTCGCCTAGCCAACATGAAACTTAGTTTAGAGGAGTTTTATGAACAGGTAAAAACATCCTTATTGTTTTGCGCTGCTAACTTTTTCCTTTACTGACGCACATTATTACAAAAGTTTATATTTTTTCCATCTCAATTGTCCATTTTCATGTATGTGTCTTTTTTAGGTTGGTTGTAACATCTTGGACAAGTCAAATGACCTGAAGAATCTCAAAGAGCAGATCCGCAAGGTCGATGAGCGGCTGGATTCTGTCATGCAGGTAAAGTCCATGTAGTTCACGCTTATGCTTCAAGTAGAACACATCTAGTGACCAACCACATGTCAACAAGATGAACTATGTCCGTGTCGATCCAGCATTGAACGGTTTGTCTTCAAGGCAGAAAAACAGGAATATGAAACATTTTCAAATATTTGAAGCACACAATGTTTCCTGTTTGCTTGTGTCTGTGTAGGAGTCGGCACAGGAGGAACAGGACTGGGCCACTGAGATGGAGACAGTGGAAAACCATCGCGATATTCTGAAGAAGAAAGTTACGTATGGATACGACGAGGCCGTGCTGCAACTGAAGGCAGCACAACAACAGTGAGTAACTGACGATACTGTTTATATGCTGTGGCCATCACACAACACAACATTATCAAAAGCCCCCTCCTAAATACTGTTTCTGCACTAAACATTTTTTTATTTTAAAAAGGAATTGGCGCTCCGGGTTTCTGTTTTTTCTGTTGTAGAATATAACACTTGTTTATTTTCCAGGTACCACCTGGTGCTGCAGGAGACCAATGAGGAGAGGCGAACTGTAGCAAACAACCTTGCGTCTGTATTTACCACAGCTACCAACCACCTGGCAGTCGCAGAGGTAACCTTCTTACTCTACACCCGCCTCCTAATCTATTTCTAAGGAATACTTCAATCAGTTTTAGCATGCAAATAAACTACATATTGTTTTATTTATACAGTATATAGTGTATTGGTCTGAAGCATCATTATTCAGGGTGCATCAACACCTGTACTTACATTACTGTGTGTACTATAACCCATTGGTGTGTGTGGTTGTGCTACAACAGAAGTGCATGGAGGACCAACACATCGGAGTGCAGCGTGTCTGCTCCAAGGCTGTGGAGGAAGATGACGCCGCTATACAGAAGCTGGGGGATGTTGCCAAGAGCTTCACGGCCAGATAACTCAAGAGACTATGGAAGCGTGGGGAGCTTTATCTGACATTTGTCTTCTTAAATTGTTTGTGTTAGAAAAAAGTGCTCCATCCAGAAAAAGGTTTTGAAGTCTAGATGCATGTCGTTCACTTACCCTGTTACCTACATGTTCCAGATGTTCACGTTGGGCACATAACTCAAGAGACTATGGAAGCGTGGGGAGCTTTATCTGACATTTGTGTTCTTAAATTGTTTGAAATTATTTGTGTCTTTTATATTTAGATTCTCATTCATTAGTTCATAATTGTTCACTTGCCCTGTATTAACATGTTCCAGCTTTTCACGTTGGTCTTTTGTGTCATTCTTTGACACATCTCAGTTTTTTAAATTATTAAACCCTTGTATACTAAATAAAAACGACTTATTACTTGTGCACAAAGAAACATATTTAGATTTATAAGAACACATGACCAAGCCTTTTTATGATTGGTCTACAGACAAACTTTGGGTAAGTATCTAATAGTACAACCTTTTAGATTCTCAGATCACATAAAGAATCACACTTATTAAAAGTTGTGACATTTTTCATTACATTGCATTACCTCTCTTTCGACTCCACTTCGAGCGATAGAACTATTAACAAAGCACTTATATATGAATAAAGGACTGGCTTATCTAAAGCCAGTTGAGTAGCACTTGAAATGTCTTTGCTCTATTAAGCCTGATGTACTTATATGATTCTGTTTTCTTCAAGTTTGTATTTTGTTGGTCGAACGCACTTATTGTAAGTCGCTTTGGATAAAAGCGTCAGCTAAATGCAATGTAATCTGTCTATATCAAATAGTTTCTGAGATGCAGCCATTTTCTTGTCAACAGGAAAACATTGAACTGTTTTTTTCCCCTAAAATATAATGCAATCTATAGAAATTTAAATCTAACATTTTGTCAAAATGGTGTTGTAAACTTGCTAGTTTGTGGTGTAAAGAAACATCAGTCTTCATTTGGTCGTACTGTAACAGTTGTGTTGAGCTGAAGCCACTAGAGGGCAGCACAATCTTTCGGTTGCTCAAACTGACACACATATATATATACACATTCTTAAAAGGCAATTAATTTTGTAAAAATAAGCCTGACATTTTTATTAAAATGTAATACAACTCAATCTTTAAAAGTTGTTTTTAAATAAGGCATGGAAAGTATTTAAACGTTTTCTTTTTTTCTGACTCAGTCATTTGTTTCCTCTTATGTTTGTACAGTTTACAAAATGCCTGTTGAACCAAAAACTAATTTAGTTTGTTCTAGCTAACAACTACATGTGACATGTTTTGTAACAATAACATTGTTATAACATGGGTAGTACTTTCCCTAACCGTAAGTTGCCCGTTGTAAGATCTGCCTTACATTTCATTGTGAGAAAAAATTATAAAAAGTCTTACATTTAATTAGACAAAGCTGCAACAACTTTCTTGATCAGAGTAAGCCCCACATAAGTGTTTACATTGATTCTGTCGGCTGAATCTCCTCATTGTATTCTTCATTGTTACCGCAGTCTACATAAGCCCACTTTATACCGACACAACTACAAAAAGGGAGGTTTAAAGCCGTCTGTGTTTGCTGAAAATCTCTTGGCTGATGCGTAGTTGGTGGTGAGAACTTCTCTCTCCTCAATGCTTTCTCTATTTCATAGTCAGCATCGCTCATTGTCCCTGTGTCCACAGAAATCTGCCTTTTGGGATTTTTTGTGATGCAATCCAGAGATCATGTGGCAAGCTGTACACAATTCCATTTTATGTTTTTAATATATATTTTATTTCTGTATCCTTCAATACGGGCCCTGAGGCAGTGTTTGTCAGACTGTCTTATGAAACTTTACGGTTCATACGTTTTTTCACAGAATCTTTTTAAACAAAGACATCTGTTTTCTGATTCAGCTGCTCTTGTTCAACACGGTGTCATTGATTTATGATTTCCCATCCATTTCCAATTCACTCCTTTCTCTTTAAAGGAAGACATTTCCCTACAATGTCCTTATTTTCCATTGTGTCAGAGCCGTCAGAGCACACGACTGGATACATAGGTGTTATTTAGATGCTTTTATCCAGAAGGTCTTACATCCAACGCTTCTATACAGCACCACAAGCAATATGGTGTTTTTAATGTTGCCCAGGGACACTATGACATGTTAATGCATCAACATACAGAGATTATTTTCTTGCAACAGTGTGGCAAACATTTTAACTTGAATCAAAGAATTGCAGAATTAATAAAATACAACTGGTTGATATTATTTAAGCATATGATTTGTAGAAAAAGGAATATTAAATAACTATTGCAATATTGAAATACTTCATTTCTAAATAACTTTCATTCGTGTCATCGGCCCGACCCTGAAACTCCACATTGTGTCAATACATTACATGTCACTTGTTAGATGCTTTTATCCAAAGCGACTTACATACTCAATACTGTGGACAATCCCCACAGGAGCAATTTTAGGTGAAGTGTCTTTCCCAGGGACACAACGACATGCTGACTGCAGTGGGGTTTGAACCTGTGACCCCCTGATCCGAACGCCTACGGACAACCCACTACGCCACACGCCCCCTCAATACACTACAACACAATAATCTGGAAGAAGTTTTTTACAGGGGAGCGTTTGAAAAGCACCGGTGCTGCGAGCGTGAGAGAAATGTTTTGGCAGATGTGATGAGAAAAGATGAGGTGATTGTGAGGGGCTCCATGGAGAGAGGGAATGAAAAATGTGATGGATAACTTCCACTACTAGCAGCGGCAACCCCTGTGTGTGTGTGTGTGTGTGTGTGTGTGTGTGTGTGTGTGTGTGTGTGTGTGTGTGTGTGTGTGTGTGTGTGTGTGTGTGTGTGTGTGTGTGTGTGTGTGTGTGTGTGTGTGTGTGTGTGTGTGTGTGTGTGTGTGTGTTGGAAAGGGAGAAAAGAGGGAGGGGTGGGGTGCAGGAAGAGGAGAAGAGGAAGCCCGTGCCGTGTGTTAACATTCACAGAGACTTAATTCAAACTAAACAGGGCTGACCTTGGTGTGTTTATCAGATCCCATATGGACAGGTGGCCTCCATAAATGCCATTTTAGGACTTAAGAGTGCGTGTTTGTGTCTTTGCATGGGTGAGAACAAATGAATGTCTAGATTTGTGTATCTTTGTACCCCCAGAGGCATGTGCATGGTGACCTGTACATGTATGTGTGTGACTCCTCGTGCAGGAATTTGCGTGCTTATTTCTGCACATGCCTGGGTTTGTATTTGTGTTCTTGCTTGTTTCCATGGATCTTTATATGTGTGTTTGCATGTGTGTGTCTGCTGTCCCATGTTGCCTGTGGCCCTCAGCCTGCATGGACCTATTTTATCATGGATCATTGCATTTAAAGACATGCACCATGCATTTTTAATATAATGTATGTAATGTTCCTGCTCTCACACAGGGGAAGTCAATGTGACATGGGTGAGGGAAAAGGCCTAACTCTTCCAGGAGATGTGTGTGTGTGTGTGTCTCCCTCTCACACACAGGGCCTCTAATAGAAGAGAGATGTAAGGAGGAGGGTATGTGGTAGTGTGCACATGAGACAAAAAAACAAAGTTAAAATTCAAAGGTTATCTTCTTCCTGCCCTGGGACCTGGAGAAGGTGTGTGTTGTTGCTATCCCATGTACCACAGGGCTTTCAGCAGCTAATCTGTCAATCCAGAGACAGCCAGACACAATAGATTGGCGAGGTGTTAATGTGGAGTCTTATTTGGGGTTAATCTCACCCATCCGCAACAAGAGTAATCTGTTCTACAGATGTGGGAAATGGCGGCAGAGGGTAAGATAAAGACAGAAAGTGAGGGCTGTTTTATAACTCTACGCTTTCTATTTTCTGTCTCCCAGCTCCCTGTCAAAACACCATCGTGTAGCTGAAATCCGTCTTCCTTAGCCCTACATTATGACTAGCCCTGGCATTTAGATTTCCCTTCCAGCAACTAATTGTCACCGGATTTAGAAGGCAAATCCTCTCCTGCTATGGCACAAAATACAGGCATAGAAATGATGCAACTGTTGTAACAAGAATCAGATTCTGACCGCCAGACAACTGTTGATGTCTCGACTTTAGTACAGTCATTAATAACAATAACACAGCAATTAAAAAACGAATAATGCATCCTTCTGTGCCTGTAACATATGGTGTATAGTGGGGCAAAAAACTATTTAGTCAGCCACCAATTGTGCAAGTTCTCCCACTTAAAAAGATGAGAGGCCTGTAATTTTCATCCTAGGTACACTTCAACTATGAGAGACAGAATGGGGGGAAAGAATCCAGGAAATCACATTGTAGGATTTTTAATGAATGAATTGGTAAATTCCTCGGTAAAATAAGTATTTGGTCACCTACAAACAAACAAGATTTCTGGCTCTCACAGACCTGTAACTTCTTCTTTAAGAGCCTCCTCTGTCCTCCACTTGTTAACTGTATTAATGGCACCTCTTTGAACTCGTTATCAGTATTAAAGACAACTGTCCACAACCTCAAACAGTCACACTCCAAACTCCACTATGGCCAAGACCAAAGAGCTGTCAAAGGACACCAGAAACAAAATTGTAGACCTGCACCAGGCTGGGAAGACTGAATCTGCAATAGGTAAGCAGCTTGGTGTGAAGAAATCAACTGTGGGAGCAATTATTAGAAAATGGAAGACATACAAGACCACTGATAATCTCCCTCGATCTGGGGCTCCACGCAAGATCTCACCCCGTGGGGTCAAAATGATCACAAGAACGGTGAGCAAAAATCCCAGAACCACACGGGGGGACCTAGTCAATGACCTGCAGAGAGCTGGGACCAAAGTAACAAAGGCTACCATCAGTAACACACTACACCGCCAGGGACTCAAATCCTGCAGTGCCAGACGTGTCCCCCTGCTTAAGCCAGTACATGTCCAGGTCCGTCTGAAGTTTGCTAGAGAGCATTTAGATGATCCAGAAGAGGATTGGGAGAATTTCATATGGTCAGATGAAACCAACATAGAACTTTTTGGTAAAAACTCAACTAGACGTGTTTGGAGGAGAAAGAATGCTGAGTTGCATCCAAAGAACACCATACCTACTGTGAAACATGGGGTGGAAACATCATGCTTTGGGACTGTTCTTCTGCAAAGGGACCAGGACGACTGATCCGTGTAAAGGAAAGAATGAATGGGGCCATGTATCGTGAGATTTTCAGTGACAACCTCCTTCCATCAGCAAGGGCATTGAAGATGAAACGTGGCTGGGTCTTTCAGCATGACAATGATCCCAAACACACCGCCCCGGGGCAACGAAGGAGTGGCTTCGTAAGAAGCATTTCAAGGTCCTGGAGTGGCCTAGCCAGTCTCCAGATCTCAACCCCATAGAAAATCTTTGGAGGGAGTTGAAAGT